TTTCGGCTCCCAATTAGTTGGGAAGACCATCATGAATTGGCGAATGCACTTAGGATTTTGCGAAATCTTGGAGTAAGTAATTCTTTGAATTAAAGTATTGAAACATTTTATTCTAATAATTATCTTTTTTGCTTAGAGGGAATTAGATGATACCCTCAAGATACTCGAGGAACTCAAAAAATCACATCGCCGGAATTCAGTTTTTCATTCTCAGTCTTTAATATTAAAGAGTCATATAGGTGATGCGAAGAGTTCACCACAAAAACCCACAGGAAAAAACTTACGTTTCATAAATCCACTCGTGTATCATGATTATGATGATTCTGATTATGAAGATCCGTCTTCACCCTCACCGTCAGGATGCTTTTATTAATTGGTTTAACATGGGAGAGTGTCACTTTAATGATTGCAACTACTGAATGATATTTGCTATTGAAGTTTGTCTGTTATCTCTTATTGCGTTTATATAATAAATTTTTTATTGACCAAAATTCACATGACTTGTTTCTGCTTTAATATTCTTGCGTTATAAAAATGGAATTATATCAATAAAGCATCTATTGTTTACCCATATTGGGCTCATGATTTTTTAACCAGTGTACCAGTGTGTGAAATCTATGTGCACAATGTGCAAATGTGCACATTAATTTTTTTATGCACATATTACACAACATAAAATGTGCATAAATTATTACTAAAAATAGATAAATTATGTATAAAAAGTTAATTTTACATAAGAAATTGTTATGATTTTCTTATTTTAGTAAAAATTTATCAACTTGTACAAATAAATTTTAACTGAGATTTTATATATTACAGTGTACTGTATACTGTATGTGAGATATCGGAATATAGGTTTTAGGATAGTTCACAGTCACAGGCTAAGACCCGAATGTATTTAATAAAAAATATTTTCTTGGCATTTTTCCGAGAACTCAAGTTCTCGGAAATTTCTTAGCAAATTTTCAGTGAACTTGGTTCGCCCAAAATCTCGTGATTTATTTTATTTGAATGTTTATATATAATGTGTAAAAGGTCTTTTCAAAATTTTGAATTCATTCTTTTAAAGTCAAGAGTATGGTTTGTAAAAAGAATAAAAGACATATTCAATCCACACTATTGGTAACTTTAGCATCAGCCAATGAGATTTATCTAAAAGCGTTATAATAACGGATACAGAATTGCGAGAACTTATTCGTCAAGTTCTAATAGTTGATGAAGTTCACGAAGTATTACAATATGATCGAAAAGCCATACCTTGGATTGATAACTTTATTCACTTTTTAATTAAGCTCAAAAATCAAACCAATGACCTAAGAGAAAAAGCATATTACACCTTAATAAGAGAACTCTTTAGCATGAAGGCATTTCGTGATGCATCCAGTCAAGATGGTCTCATTTCTAAGGCGGAATATTATGGAAATAAAATAGACAACAGCATAACTGATTATATCATTCAAATAGAGCAAGGTAAAAAAAATGTGGTTAAAGTCGTGAATTAGTTGTGACGTTATGTCAAGTGGCAATTATGGAAGGAATGGTAAATTTGCTTAATGATGCTGAAAATAAAGATCCAGAATCTCATGGTGTAGTTGTCATAACCTTTGTTTTACAAATGTATAGCATTTTTGAGTTTGATAAGCTTCAATATAGCTTGTACCTTCTTGATCGTTTCTGTTACTCGACATCAAGAGGATTTGTTTTACAAATTAATTTTTAATTGCTGAGAATCTTTTCCTTCACGTTGAGCATTAATTTCC